ATTTGAAGATCTTGGTGCAGCTGAGGAACCACGTCTGAATCAGCTGCAAAAATTCAGCGACTTTTTGGGTGATTTTAAAATTTCACAATGGTGGAAAACTTTTTTTTTTTGTCAAATAAAGGAAGAAATTCAACTAATTTTGCTGAACCGGACAGAAAACTACTGCTGCTGTTCACATAGAAGTTCATATTCTGCTCTTCTGGAGCAATTTGAGAGAAAAAACTGTCGATTCCCCCCAAAAAACGTGAAAAAAATCCACGACAGGACGACGATGGCGGCGGCGTCAGAAATCCACCTCGGATCGTTTATTTATAACGGAACACGATGTGCTCACGGGCTGAAACCACCGAGCCTCTCATTTGCTATGTAGGTGACAGTTACAGCGCCGGAGGACGGAGGAGGAGGAGGAGGAGGTGGAGGAGGGTGGTGCACCTGCTCTGCTACACAACTACACACAGGTATCCGTACTGTACACATGAAAGCCAAACACACACACACACACACACAGCCAGAGACGCATTATCACATGAAAGCTAACGCGGATACAAAGACGACAATGGGCGCAAACACACAACCGCACACGCACAAAGAGAGAAAAATGAAAGCAAACTGAGAGAACTTGAGCGTACGAGTGCACTCGTTCACACGCAGCCCGCCGCTCCACCACATTAAAGCGCCGCTGACACACTAACCTGCCGACACAACCGCAAACCCACAAACACACTCTGCATCACGTAAGTCCACGCTCAGGAATAAAACACACTTCTTTCTTTTTTCTCTCTTTGTGAGATCGTTTGCTGTGTGTGTGTGGCGGTACATTAATCTGGCGGGGTCGCTGAGATGACACTAATCCCTCCGCTGATTATCTGGAGCATAACATCGCTCTAATCTGCCGGTGGTGGCGGCGGAGGGGGGTTAAGGAAGACAGACAAGGTTAGAGAGAGAGAGAGAGGGAGGCAGCGCTCGGGTTCATTAAACTCTCGAGTGTTTCTTCTTCTTCTTCTTGTTCGTCGTCGGCGCCTCGAACCTGAATCTGCAGAGGAAGGACGCGAGAGTTTGCAAAGTTGTGCTGGTGAGTCACGTGACGCCTGTAAGTGTGATGAACATCGTGTCCTGACAGCATCTGTGCAGCCAAACGAAGACGACTCATTAAAAATGCACATTCACATGCGTCCGTTGTCATAAAGTCTCTTCGCGGACTCGACCCAGGATCCAAAAACTTCTAAACCGCATCGTCATCGGGGTTTTTACTTGTGAAATAAATGAATCTGTGACGTCTGACGTGGTGGGAAATGTAGAATTAAACTGCACTTTCTGTCCTTTACTTTCACTTTCACATGTTAGACGTTCACATGTTTTTAGTTTAGGGACCAAACTGACCCATGAGGAGGAGCGACATGCACCAGTATGAAGAGAAAAGACCCTCAAGGTTTGCTTCATATGTTGGATGTGACACCAGCACACGTCTGTTGGACTCTTGTTTCCACTGTTTGCACTCCACACAGGACTTTTCTACTTGACATATTACGCTTATTGTACATGTTGCATATTGTTTATTTGTGCTTGTTTGTTTGTATTTATGGTGGTGGTAACTCTATCTTTGTGCGATAACAACCACGTTTCCCCCTGAGGGATTAATAAAGTATTTCTATTCTATTTTATTCTATCAATCCTAGAATTACGTTTCCGTCGTTGTTTAGTTTCGGTTTTCATTCGCGTCCTGGTTCAGTTTAGGAGAATATCATGGTTTGGGTTAAATATGACTCTTTGACTCCACGGTTGAAGCGTCGGCTCGGTTTTCTTGGTTTCCATGTTGACAGGTCTCCATTTAATATCTTTAAATCAAGTTATTAGCTGTAAGTTGTTGTGAAAAACAAGCAAATGAGCATAAGTTTTCTGCCCATTAATTATCATTCCATACAGATGAATCAGGACTAGAATGTTGGAGGTTCGTCTATGTGGTGAATTTTATTTGAGTTTTACATAAAAAATGGAAAACTTGTCCGAGTCAAACAAATCAAGGAGGAGACCAACACAGCAGCTTTTCAGAGCCACTTATCCTGGTGTAGGTACTGTTTCCTGGCCTGAAACTGGCCCCTAAATGACCTACCTACCTAATATCTGTAAAATACAGTGTATAATAATTTTAAATATTTTCAGGTAATTTTAATACAGTAAAAAAAAAAAACCTCTAATTTTATGATCAAATGGTTTTAAAAAATAAAATAAAATAAAATGCAGGTATTTGTGGGAACATTATTTACAGTTTTAGACATTTCTTGTAAGCGTCATCACATAAATTAATACTTCTTCTCTGTGACTTTATTCCATATTTCTGTACTTTAACCAACAGAGAAAGTATTTAAAATAAGAGCGTATTGTTCCACAGACGGGTTCCTTTTTATTCACTCTGGAGATCCACTTGGACCAACGTCGCCAATCCAAAGACAAAAGCCACTAAAGCTGCAACTAAACCTTACAGCTACCAGACTGAATAACAGACGTTGCTTTGGATAAAAGCTTGACCGACACCATGTGTTAAAAAAAAAAAGAAAGGTTGTATTTGCGTTGTTGCAGGACCTTCCAATGATCTTCATGTTTACCTCGTTGGCCTTTAAGCACCAGAAGGAACCACTAGAGAAACATCTCTGTCTCTCTGAATACATCCATGATTACGCTATGAAACGATGCTGAACCAACCTTCGCAAAATGTTCATAATGACCCCAAAGTTTCCCCAAATAACCATCTAGCAACGCCTTGGCAACACCACAGCAACCAACCGCCCAAGGTGGCTTCTGATTGGTTAGCGTGGACGTCTGTAAGATGGTTTGTTGCTGGACAAAACGTAATATCTCCTCATGTAGTCGTGGAAAGAAGCCAGTTTGGGTTGAGAAGCACCAACACCAACAGTAATTAGGCTAAAACACGGCAGCTTCCAATCAGGACACGAGAAACGAAAGCCAACATGGAGGACGACGTGATTCCACCGGCTGACGGAGAATTCATCCCGTTACAGCCCAACAGTCGCAGGTGAGGAGGGTTTCCAGAAGCCGGCGTGTGTTCCATCACCCCGGCTGTCTCCGTCTCTTAGCGTTATCATTATCAAAGTAAATTGCGGCTCCCGTTCGCCAGATGAACAATACAATATTTCCATTTCTGACTCTGCATGGTCTGTCCGCCCGCCGCCTCGGCACATGCATCCCATAATCACAACACTGTCACAACGCATCGCGCTCGCCATGGATCATCCCCGCCAGGGACTCCGAAGTTTCCCATTCCCTTTTGGTTTTGTCTCCTCGACCAGGATCGGTTTAGTTTTCTAATAAAACAACTAAAAGCATCGAACCAGGACTCAATATCCTGTCAAAGAAGCGTCATCGCCTCCAAACCAGGCTGATTTTTAGTCGAGAACTTGACTTGTTTTTGGTTTTGTTTTGGAGTTTTGGGTCCCGCTGAGACGTTTTTAGACAATAGCGTGTTTTAAAGTCGGTGGGCAGAGTTCAGGGAAGAACCTCTTTCCTGTTAACAACACAATTGTGGAAGGACAAAGAACTGACCACGACCTCAGCCAATGTCGCCTCAAAATCAGGAACAATCACCCGACATCACCTCGTTATCCACTGGTAGAGTCACCAGCAGGCTTCCTAGGGTTCGTATATTTGGTCTAATGTAGCATCTATCAAAGTATGCACATAAAAACACCAACAATACACCAAACACGAGCTTGTTTTACCTCAAACAGAAGCTTTAAGATGAAATATTATCACTGAAAACCAGCGTAGTGTAGTCGAGTGTCACCACTGAGACGCTCTTTGTGTTGCTTTTATCTGGTTTTGTTTTTGTAGTAGATTAAATATCAACTAAAACAATGAATGTAAAGGCCTGACCTCCAGCTCAAAGGGTGTTTCACATGCCTACGAGATGATCGGTGTTGACAACGGACCAAAACATCCACCGTCAAAACCAAAAAACCTCCAAAAACACCAATAACAGTGACGATCTAACGGCAATGGTGAGGTTTTACACGTAAGAAGAAGTCTGAATTACTGGAAAAAAATGGAAATAAACTGTTGTTTTACTTAAACAGAAGCTTTAAGATCCAATATTTCCCAAAAGAACGTCTGAGGTCACTGAAAACAAACCTACTGTAGTCAAGTATCACCACCGAGACGCTAAAATGAGATATTTGTTGTGTGTAAATGAAGAAAAATGCTCATTTCTAGTATGTTTTTTCCATCATATGGTTTCTGTAGAACATTAAATCTAAAGTAAAACAATTAATTCAAAGGCCTGAGCTCCAGCTTTAGTGGTGTTCTGCTAAACAGCCGTTGAAAAAACGGAAAAATCCCATAAAAAAAAACAAAAACTGTGAAAATCTAACAGCAAAGTTCCATTTTAAACGTTTAAAAAAAAAGTCTGACTCACTATAATTGAAAAAAAATGAGATATTGTGTGCAAACGAAGAAAAATGATCATTTCTAGTGTGTTTTCCCATCATATGGTTTCTGTCGTACATTAAATTTAAAGTAAAACGATTAATTTAAAGGCCTGATTTGCAGCTTTAGTGTTTTTTTTGCAAAACATCGGCTGAAAAAACAGAAAAATCTCTAAAAAGAGCAACGGTGACATTTAGGACACGTAAATAAGTATGAATGACTGTAACGCTGAAAAAAATGAAGGTAAAACTGAGCAACCAAACTCTCTGAGCGGTCTGAGCAGAACGAGGCGGATCAGGTAGAGCCAGAACACGGTCCACATTCGATGCATCCACTCGGAGGTAATTAAGCTGAGGGAGTGTGTGCGCTGCGCTGATTACACATTATCTGTGTCAGTGGCCATTTGCTCACAACTGGCGCCACATCGCAGAGAGAGCCAGAGGCAGAGAGCATCATGGGTAGATGAGCACACGCCGCCTGGCGTCTGTCCACACGGCGGCGGACAGAACGACGGAGGAGGCCACGCCACCTCCGACAGGAAACACAGAGCAGCAGCTTCCTACCTGCTAGCCGGGAGTTAGCGTACGGCGGCGAGAGGCTGTCGTGTGACGCCATGTACTGAGATCCATCAGCGTAGCTCTGGAGGTAAAGAACAAGACCACATTAGTCCACCTACAAGACCAGCATCCACTGGGAGGCCAGTACAGGCTGCAGCAGGAGGCGTCTGCTCATTCATTCTCTATTATAAAAATAATAACTGTATGTATGGAGCAGCTTCTAAAGCTGAGCAGACATGAAAAGATCCTGAACCATCAGCAACCAGGAAGAAAAACATGTAGAAACACATTTAAACAATATTTTCTAAATAAATCAAAACAGCAGATAAAACAGGGTCATGTGACCTCTTTAGTTTTTTAATGTGTTTTCAACTGATGTGAAGAGTTTCCTCCAAAGAAATCAAAATAATCTTTCCTGGAAGAAAAAAAAAAAA